AATCTATGCTATGCTATAACAAAGTTGATGTCCCATAAAGCAAAATGTCTACAGAAAAATCCCTTCGACTTACAACATAACTGCTACCAGTTATAATCAACCATGAGTGGCTCTTTTGTTGCTCTAGACGGGCCAGAGTGCGTCTCATTAGGTGAAAATAATACAGCTGGTACCGGCTCTCTAGCGTAGTTGGCTAAACCGGATTGCTCGGTGACTGGGTGACGAACTCCTTGTGGTCCGGGTTCCCGGGGGTAGGCAGGAAAGCCACATTTCTCCCAGATTTACGGTATTTACAATAGAATCAAGGCCGAAAGGTTGCGATATCCATAATACCTAGCCTAAGGGTTAACAATTCATGGCTTCTGGATACTAAAACAAACAAACAAACAATTCAGCTGGTTACATTAAGGAATGGTTAAGTAGTAAATTTCTACTTCGAAAAGAGGTTTAAAATTATATATATATATAATAATAACATACATACATACATACACACAACACTCAGGGTCTGGAACAAGTCTAAGGTCTGGAGGTGGTTAAACAACCAGCACATTTCACCACAGTTTACCGCTGGTGAACGTGAAGCAGAAGAAGAAGAAGAGGAAGAAGAAAAAAGAAAAAGAAGAAGAAGAAGAAACAAGAAAAAGAAGAAAAAGATGATGATGAAGAAGATATTTTACTATACAAATATTTCTAATTTTGAAACCATAAATTATCAATTATTAAATGTGGAGTATTTGTGTTATGTGTACATCAAGTCATCCCCATGTGGGATACAATTTTTTGTTTTTTGAAGCCCCACCCTGGCTTCTGCCAGGGGCCCTGCATATAGCCGGGGCATGGATATTGCCTAGCCATAGATATGGTCAAACGGCTGAAAGGGGTTCCTTGGACCTCTCCATGGGTGATCCTCATCAGCATGGTTGCACTTTGTGTCACCCGGTGTTTATAGCTTGTATGATGTCCTGGTGGGGGTCAACTACCTGCCTACCTACCAATCCAAAAATCATGAGTGTGCAAAACTTGAACCAAATAACTTATCTGGCAATAGCATAAAAATCTAAGGCAAAGATGTGGCCAGACATACATACAAATATGACTTTAATAAAATCTTATAACAGCAACTAAGGCAGAGATGGGTTAAGAAAAAAATCAGACAATTTTGGTTACAGTTTGAATTGTCCTGGAATGAAAAAAATAAGGATATTAAATGTGTGTTTGTTAAATAAAATGTAATTCTACAATTCATTTGAAGTAGCTTTCTTGTTCAAAGGGCGAGGTATCATTTTTGTGACACTGTTGAGTTGGAAATATGAAACTAGACTTATACTCAGTGAGTTATGTGGCCCAGCCATTTCCTAGTTCCAGTTGAACAAGTAGACACTCACTATGGAAAATACAAGATAATAACATTCAAATTTCTCATCGCATTTTTATTATTGCTCCACTCAATCCTGGTTGTACATTCTGTCAGACTGATATCCATCCACCTTTTAATGGTATAAGTGTCTGCAGCTATCTGGTTTGCCATAGACTTCTCCATCTAGTATGGTTCTTTTAAGAGCTTTCCATAGTTTAGAAAATTTTAGAGTAAGTGTATGTGATTGTGTATGTTTGTGCGTGTGTGTCTATATGTGTGTGTGTATGTGTAATAATTATATTTTGATACAATCCATTAGAGATATTCTTTGGTGTAGCTTTTTTTTTCATCCATGCAAATAACCTTATGTAGTACACAACTATTCTTTAGCAAAACATTAAACAATATATTATTTTCATTAGAATTTAAAAAAATATTTTTCTAAAATATACTGTTCACAGTTGTATCCTCAAAAATTCCCATTTAAAAAAAAAAATAGTACCCTTTGTGACAACAATTTTTTTTTCTAATTTCAGATATGAAAAATCTGAACTTTGCCATGAAGTGAGCAAAGGATCACGTTTCCAGTATAATATACAGTGGCACTTGTGTGACATGAAGGAAGTTCACAGTCACTCTCCTATCCATGTATTTTGATGAACATCAAGCTATGTCACATTATCTACATCCAGGCTGATGCAAAATCTTTTAAACATGTCACATTGTTATACTTTAGGCTTTGTCTATAAACATATGCTAGAAGAGTTATGATTATCAGAAACAGAAAAATCATCAGAGAAACTCCACCTAGGAACATTCTCAAATGTTCCAGAAGTAAAGAAATCTTGAGGCAGCACTTTGATATGCCTGCCAAGGTTTTGCAGTGCTGCTACACAGAAACAATGCTTTTGATCAGAGAGTAAAAGACAATGGCTTAGGAGTTCTTCAGCACAGACATGTTGTGGCTTCCTGTTGCAGCAGTACTGGCTCTTGCCATTCAGGCAATCACTAGTTCAGTGCCGGATGCCAGCAGCACTTGTAGTGCCTATCTTTTTCCTAGAGCTGAAGACATGGATGTGAAAGTTATCGGAATCCTAGGAATGCATGATTCTGATGGTGGCAAATGTGGTACAACTTACAATGCTGGGGCCCTTCAGGTGAGACATTTCACATTTATTTCACATATCTGCTGTGTATATATGTGTGTGTGTCTGTGTGTGTGTGCATGCATGCATGTGTGCATCTTTTAAGCATGTTTGTAGGTAAGCAAAAGCATGTTTTTAGGGGTTTGTTAACTCTTTCAGTCCCAGCTATGTGTTTCTTCAACTCCTAACTTCCTAAACAGTATTTTCCTTATGTAATCATAATTTAGGTTTCAAATGGCTGAAATAAAAACACAATGAAACTACAGGAACCAAAGTAACAGTTGGGATAGAATTGGTTAAAGCTAAGCTTTAAATATATAAACACATTTGAAACACAATTGTCACATGTTGTCAATAATTATAATAATGATGATGAAAGTAAGGATAAGCATTATCTTAAGGATTAGTGTGATGCAAATAATAACATCATGTTTTATATTGTTTTCAGAATGCCATTGCACTGCACTTTGCTGCTGACCTTATCAATGGATTCAATGGTACAACCAGTTTTATCCCAGGAATACGAATTGGTATGTAGCCAACTTTGGTACATTAGGTAACACTACCTTCCCTCCATACACTGCAGCAGGCAATCCAAAAAACAAGGTACCTCAACTCACAGCTTCCATGAGAAGCTAGTTATGATATCTTGACCTTGAACATGCACTTCTGTGCTGGTCCAGTTTTCTTTCCCAAGTCATGTAGTAGGGTTTTAACCAGAAACTTGTCAGCATCCATCAACCTAGTCTATACATCATTAACTAACCATAACCTGCTTATAAGGCAGTTTTTCCCGATGTTCATATCATCTTGGATATCAATGCTTTTCTTCTTCTTGGTCTGATGTATTCTAAAAATCTTTCGGTAACAACCATATAGAGATATTGACTTTCTACTGGGCAAGCTAAAGGTGCTGCTGTGAGAGGGAAGTAAAAATCATTCATATGCTGTGAGTTCTTTAAGTCACTTAGATAAATTCCACAAAGTACAACAGGCAGCTTCTCATTGCCAGAAGCAGTTCAAATTATATTAATACTGATGCCTTTTATTGTTGTTGTTGTTATTGTTGTTGTTTTGTTGGCATTGTTTATCAGAAAAATTGAGGTTTCAAGGTGTGCATTCCAGCTCCAAGGCATGTTTGCATTACTGATTAAAACTTCAAAAGTTTAGGTTTAGGTTTAAGTTTAAACAACGGATCAACATCAAGGCACAAAGGTAGTAACCCATTAATGCTTTGTTCTACTCCTAACTCAAGCCTGAGTCCAAATAATCTCAGCACAGTGCACAAACTCTGAAGCACTGGCAATGATTCTGAAAATACTTTGAGTAGATTTTCAACTCCAAACTTTGCTTGGACAGTGCCGTTAGGATACTCTTTTTCAATTTCTAACTGCCTAGAAAATTTTTGCATGCACAACAATACACACAGGCGTCAGATTTTACTACCCAGAGCCCAGGGAAAATTTACCATGTAAATACCCATCCGTATCAACTACACAAAATACCACTCTGGAGCACCATGTTGTGCTGTGGATATTAAAATAAATGACCTATTTCACACTAGTGGCACATCGGGTATCTGATGCTGGACTTATATTTTGTATAAACAAATCAGCTCTAGATGTAGACCTTTACTTCCCAGGAATGTACCTGCTACTCATTTTAGGCTGGATCGACATGGGAGCCAAGATCATTTTTGAAAATATCCAACTCAGTGGTAATTCTAACACAAGATGTTTGAGCCAGTGTTGGAGCATCTGTAGTACTGTGTGGGTAAGGAATATATTTTGATCAGGACACGAGAAAAGAGAAATGATATTTCCAAAGCAAGTCAGAAGAAAAAATGGACAGATGTTATTAGTTGTACTTGGGAATATGTTTGACAAGAAAGGCAGAGGAAGAAAGAGGAAGAGGCAGGTGGAAATCTAAAGCAATTGGACAATAGATAGGATATAAGCAACAAAAAATTCATCAAAAATCAATGCTTTAGAGGTTTAAAGAAATTTTATCACTGTTTTATCGCCGACACCAGGCACCTTAAGCAGTTTCGAGGAAGTTAAATTAAATGATCCACTAACTCAAGTGGGGAGGGCAGAAAAGTAAGAATGTTGCATTAGGGAGAATTCATTGATATATGCATATTATTGTAGCTCTCGAATGTAAAATGTCTTGCCTTAAGTATTGAGCATAAGTCTTGCAAAAACTGTTTAGTGTAAACTGTCTTGCGATAACCTTTTAGTGTGTAAACTGCATTGCAATAGCTGTTTAGTGTGTAGACTGTATTGCAATAGCTGTCCAGTGTGTAAACTACACTGCAATAGCTGTTCAGTGTGTAAACTTCATTGCAATAGCTGTTCAGTAGGTAAACTTCATTGCAATAGCTGTTCAGTAGGTAAACTGTATTGCAATAACTGTCCAGTGTTTAAACTATTTTGTATAAAATAGTAAATGTCTTACTAAAATTATTGTATGTTCTTTGTCTTATTACAACTCAGGTATAGAAGTCTATGATGACTGCAACACTAAGTACCTGGCTGCCTATCATGCTGGTGCTATAATTTCAAAAACTGGATGTGTGACAGAGTGCTCTGAAAATTCAACATTGTCAGTGTCAGATGTTCCTGTGGTTGGTATGTTGATAATTATTTATGTTGCTATAGCTAGAACCTCTGTGGCTAAGTCGATGCGAACGCTTCGTAATGCCGGGTTTAATCCCAGCTGCGGGCCATGTGCCTTGCATTGGTTTCGACAGTGGTTTAAAGAAAGCTGACTGTCCAGAAGGAATGGCAAACTACTGGACGTAAATTTGCCTAGAAAAAACACACAACAGTCAGGGGCTGTTGGGGTTGGTTCTGCAACGTCCTGTAAAGGATACGCAACTAACCTTTTAAAGATAGAACTGGGACAGCATCCTGCCTGTCATGCTGATGCTATAATTTCACAAACTAGATGTGTGGCACAGTGCACTGCATATTCAACAGTGTCTGTGTCAGCTGTTTCTGTGGTTGGTATGTCAATAATTATTTACGAGATTGGGTAAACCTAAAGTGTACTTTAGCTTTACAGGAGACTTTACAATAAGCATAACTAAGCAAGTTGCAGCATATACCGCATTGTACTGTGAGCATTGTAGTTATAACAAAGACTGTATATCATTGTTGTTGTGATAGGGATCGGTATAACATTGTTGTTAAATTAAATACTGGTGTATTGTTGTTGTTACAACAAGAACTATATATCATTGTTATTATGATAAGGAACATACATAATATTTGTGTCATACACATCACTGTTGGTATAACAAAGATATGCATATCATAGTTTTTATAAACCGGACTGGAATATTATTGTTTTTGTAACAAGGATGGTACATCATTGTTGTTTTAATAAGGACTTTAATAAGGACTGTTGTTAAAATAAGGATTGGTATATCATTGTTCTTTAGGTAACCATTGTAAACCATTGTTTTCTTGTGACAAGGATTGGACTTACATGTTTCATTAACATAGATTCACATATAGCTGTTCTTGCAACAATACCTAGTATATAATTTAAGAATTCTTGTGGTTTTTCAGACTGACAAAACAAGTCAAGATACAGAAAACCAAAGACTTAGTATTATTATCATGTTCGGTGTGTGTGCACGCGTCAGCATCTATCACCTTCTAGAGTTCTTTATTTTTTAGCGACCATAAATACTGGGAAATCTACAGGTCACGGGTTTTCTTTCTTCGATCATGGTTTCTTCCAAGGCCAAGGTTATATTCAATGTGTCGTCCTGAGTGTGTATTTCCAAGCGGCAGCTTGGGTTCAATCTTCCCTATGAATTAGCAGCATTAGTACTTGACCAGAAGAGCAGCATTGCTTTTCTGCATTTTACATCACCAGAACAAGTCTGTCATTCCTGCTCATGTCGCACCAGTTGCTGTATTCCGACATCTCTCCAGATCTAGTAATGTAGATAATTGTTCTGATTGTCGATTTGTGAACTCAGCAGTATACATCTAGAATGACATTGTCTTTTATTCATTGTTATCAGCTGCTGGTGATATCGCATGTTCTGTATTCCATAATGGAGTGCTTTTAATGACCCTAAAACATCTAGACCTGGATCTAACCCCAACCCGCCTATGAGGGAATGCAGCTTAAGTCCCACAACTGCGTGCAGCCTAGGTCCTACAACTGTATGCAGCCAGGGTCCCACAATATATGCAGCCTGGGTCCTAAGACTGTATGCAGCCTAGGTCCCATGACTGTATGCTGCCAGGGTCCTATGACTGTACGCAGCCACGGTCCCACGACTGTATGCAGCCTAGGTCCCACGACTTTACACAGCCTAGTTCTCACGACTGAATGCAGACAGGCACCACTGTATGCAGCCTAGGTCCCACAACTGTACGCAGCCTAGGTCCCACGACTGAATGCAGCCTAGGTCCCACGAATGAATGCACCCTAAGTTCCCAAGACTGCATGCAGCCAGTGTCCCATGACGGTATGCAGCCTGGGTTCTACTACTGTATGCAGCCTAGGTCCCACGACTGTATGCAGCCTAGAATATACACAATGTCCATGTCGTACTTGAAGTCCCAGAAGGCTATAATTACCAATATTACAAACCAACACACTGAATCTAACATGCAAAACTGTTCTAACTGTCAATTTATTAACTTTTTAGGGCCACTCCAAAGTGGCAAGGCGCCCTACGATTGCACATAGAGTTCACACACAAAACTGCACAGCAAAAAAACTGCACTGGACAAAACTGAAAAAAATTGCAAAGCCTATGGAATACCCATATTAGAAAACTATACACTGAATTTACCACCCCTTGAATAGTAGACTGTCCCGTGACCTGGGGATTTTCCTTATTTGTTGTCGCTAAAAAATAAAGAACCCCCCCACTCAAATATTGGACTGTCCCGTGACCTGTGGATTTTCCTATATTTGTAGTTGCCAAAAAATAAAGAACCTCAGTTTAGGCACACAAATGTGTGTTGTTTATTCATCAGTCGTGTTACAGTGGTCCCTATCATAGATCATCTAGAACGTTTTCCTCAATCCAGAGATAGATTCCAGTGCTAATGAATCTGTTAAACTGTATCACCTTTTTTTGAACTTGTACCTGCCTTTCGCTCCTTTCCCTGGTTACGGATATGCAATGAACATTTATTCTCAGATTCACTCAGCAAGAGGCTTCCATTATCTTCTCAGCCATATTTCTCTGTATATACAAGATATTCGCTCCCCACTGTCAAGTGTTCAGATTCACTTCAAAAATCACTCCATCCAACCATCCGTTTCCTCTAGCTATCTCACACAGAAATCCTTTACCTATTATCCCATGTTATCTTGTTCCCTTTGTCATCATGAGATTCTCCACAATCATTTGCTCATTCACACTGGCTATGCTTTTGTCCTGACTCTTTCTTATCTGGCCAACAAACTATTGACCCGTTCTGTTGGGGAATCCCTTCTGACATCATGGGATTTCTTACCCATTACAACAGAAGTAGGTGCACTGTAGCCAACCTCTATTGTGGAGAAAGCATACACATTTTCTATTTCTACCATATTGTTTTATATTAATATCTACATATATTTAATGGAATCACATTATCATCTCCATCCATGTATGCAGGAGTTATTGGCACCAGCATCAGTGAGACCACAACTACTGTAGCCAACATCTTAGAGCCAGCCTTTATCCCTGTTCTAGGTCCATCTGCAACAATACCTGTACTTAGTAACAAAACACAGTATCCACATTTTGTGAGAGTAGTCCCTTCAGATTTCAAGCAAATACAGGTAAATATTTCCTGCATGAAAATCATGTAACTTCTGTACTGTGCATTTAAATAACAAATATGTCAGTACTTCTTCACTCTAGATGTTATTTTTTGATGTATCTTTATTTATTCAGGTTTAAAATATTTTTGAAATTCAAAAACTCATCAGTCATATATAAAAACACTGCCTCTTTCTGATATTTGTGACATACATAGTTTTTATGTGATGTGCAATGAATTCTAGGCTCCAAAACATCATCACCGAGGCTTCATGGTTGTGTGTGTGCGTGCGTGTGAGCATGTTGGGGGGGAGGGGGGGGGGAAGAGGGGGTTTTGCATGTTTACTAACTGTCCAGGATTCACAGTCACATGTTGAATTACTGCTACACATCGCTCCTACATAATAGTAGAATATACCCACTGTACAATAAGGAGCATGTGGTTCTTTCACAATAGCCTACCCCCAGATGATGTCATGGGACAGTCCAATAGTTTAGAGGGTTGTTAGACCAGGTTTCACAGCTGTCTGATGCTTTTAATGACACCAAAAAATCTAGAACTGGCCCTGAACACAATCTACCTATGTCCCACAAGAGAGTGCAGCCTAGGTCCCATGACTGCATGCAGCCTAGGTCCTACGACTACATGTAGCTTATCTACCACCCTCTGCAAAATTACACTGTCTCATGACCTGTGGATTTTCCCTGTTTAGGGTAGGATTTTGCAAAAAAACCAAGCATGTTTTAAAAAAAAACTATCAACTTTTTTTGTAGCAGAAGAAGGTTTTGCAGGAGATGCCAATGAAGAAATATCTGTGATTAAAATTCATCAGTATTTTCAAAACAGTAATATACCAGAATTAAGGACCATTGCATAAACCAGATTTCTCGAGTATGTTCTAAAAAAAAAAAAAAAAGGAGAAGATAGTAAGCTAGGGAGGGGACTAGCAGAAAGAGTTATTCATACATCATGTATTGTTTAGGACTCAACAAGTTATGAATTTTCAGAAAATGGGTATGTTGGGCAGAAAGGTGAGAATATCACATCCTAGCTGTAAACCATAGCGTAACTTACCAACTGCCCATTTAAGGGTGAAAACACAAGAAGTGAGAGAAGAAGAACAAGAAGATTGGTAGCTGCTGTAAAATGATAATTTTACTTGTGACTTTTGATAATCTATATTTGGTTATCTTTTGTAGGTGATTGTGCAGCTGGCCAAACATTTTCAGTGGTCCTACATCATTGGATTAGCAACTTCAGATAACTATGGAAGAGAAGGCATGACAGAGCTAATGAGACTAGCCAAGGAGCAAATGATTTGTGTATCCCTGATAGAGGATTTTGATCTCTTTAATAAGTCCAGCATGGAGACGTTTGCACGCACCACACTAGCCGATAAGATAAAAAACATTAAAGACAACATAGGTAATTTTATAAGGAAAAATAATATAATTACAAAGCATTTACTTACTTAGTCGCTCCTCTTCTACCTAGGGGTGTAGAGGTTTGCCAGAGAGATCGCCAGACGTCTCTATCAGCAGTTTTCTTTCTGGCTTTGTACATAGCATTTAGTTTTTGTTTATTACCATTTTAATGATTGTTATATGTTTCCATTTGTCCTTCTATACATCTGAGAAAAAAGATCTTCATTTCTGTATCCGATATCAGTTGTTGCAAACCTTTTTTTTTTTAAACTGTGGAGTCCTTTTGAGAATCCTTTCTATGTCAAGGCTGTGGTGAACTTAAAAAAGGAGATTTTGAAAGAAATTAACTCATGAATCAAACTGATTATTTCCAGAAAGATGCAGTCTACGGTATTTGATCATATCATGAAAAAAAAAGGATAATAAGTTTTTCATGCCAGTGGGAAAGTTGGAGGGAAGGGAAAGAGGGAAGACCATAAGAAAAGATACTAGATAGCTTGACATCATGTCACTGGGAAAATCAACTGTCAGAAATGATTGAGAGTAAATGTGAAAGCATGATTACCACTACCACAAGGTAATGAGGATATGAATAAGGCAGAGACAAGTTTCAGATACCTAAATAACAGGGATGTGCATTTGTATTGTTTTACCTTAAAATTACTGGCATCCTGCATGCAGAATGGCTTGCATCAATTGATAAGATTTAGATCACAAGCAAATTAGTGATTTTCTGTCCAGGATATTCAGGTGTGCAAGGTAATAAAAAAACTGATTGAATAGCTGCTGCCACTCCTCTAGGCAGTGATCTACTTTATGACGGACAGAAAATCTATACATTTAATAAACTAATTCAACAGGGCTGGAATATAGTTTCAGGAAGATATTAAATACTAAGGGTAACATAGGGGGACTGTTAATCATGTTGAAACTGATACTATTATCTTGTTAACTCTTTGTTGCACACTAAAGAAGGGGAAGGAGCACATTTTCAAATGAGCCAAGTGCAGTGATGTCATTTTTTGATTGATTCATTTATTTATTGGTTTATATCTTAGAACTAATTTCACATTCTAAATTCTTTTAATCTAAAATTATTTGATGTTCTATATTGTGTTCACTCAGGTATCATCTACTTTGGTCTAAATGATCCCCTTGTTCGTTTCCTGAAGTACATAGACGAAAAAAAAAGTTCTTGGGGCCAAGAATGGTTTCAACAGATACAAAAAATTTACTGGCTTGCTTCTGATGCTGTTCAAGCTTCCCAGGATCTGGCAACTACAGTTTCCCATTTCAAAACCAATATTTTGGTTGTGAGCCCGTACCTCGTGAACATTACATCTTTCAAAGAATATTTTATTGATTTCCTGAAAGCACCGCCTGCTTGGGTTAGTGGACCATGGAAACTGGCTATCAGCAATGTTGTACAAAATGCTACAGGGTAAAATTTAATTTAAATTTAATTTCAGTTTTACGTCATTTCAATATAACGAAATAGAGCATCTTGTAAATTCAATGAACCTGTGATTCATCATCATACCATAATACTGTGTGTTGTTGCGTCACCAGTTTCTGTTGAATGTCTGATCAGCTCTCTCCACCTTTGGTGGTCAATTGTGATGGACTTGATGGTTGCATGCCTAAGGCTTGTTCAGTCTTTAAGGTTCTGTAAACAGGTCTTTCTTGGTCTGCCTCTTCTTTTCTTTTCCTCTACTGAGCCCTGCCGTATTGTTTTTGAGAGGCCGTTAGATCTTATTACATGTCTATCTATACCATTGCAATTGTTTCCTTTTCACTGTAGTTAAAAGAGGTTCATAGTTGCCAGTGTGCTGAATAATTATATGATTGTATACAACCTATGATTAGAACTCTAATTTCTAACTTACAATTTTTAGTAGTAATTTAAACAACAATTTAATGTTTATCCCACCTGGATTAAATTTAGAATATATATTTATAATCACTTACTTTTTGTTATTGCGTAGATTCTGTATTAACTGTAACAGATTGTAGAAGTATTTTATTTGTTTTCAACAGGGTCGGGGGGGGGGGGGGGGGGGGGGGGGGGGGGGGGGTGGGGGGGGGGGGGGGGGGGTTCTAGCATCTTCATTTCTAGCATCTTCATAACAGTAACTATTTCTGTAGTCCTGACTGACTTTTTTCTTGTCAAGCTGAACTTATTTTTGATATTCCATTTTGTGATGTTTATTCCTCTTCCTAAACTATCATCTTCTCCATTGAACCATCTGTATAAATAGTGAGATTTTTTTTTATTTTAGCTTTATATGGCTCCTGGCCTCATTTGTCATTTTACCGGGGTGGTACAGCAAGGGTGTATTTCAAGTCTAGGTAATAGCTTTTTTTTATTTTACTAAATATTTAAATTCTAACAAGCTATTATTATATATTTTGGTAGCTTTTTTTTTTTTTTTAGTTATAATTACATTTTTAGTTAAATTGTAAGATTAGTTTAATGTTGTGGATGTTGAATGAGCAACATCTGATGGCAATTATCACTCCAAAGATCTTTGGTGGTTAGTGTCCTTCTGATATTTTCTTTTGGGCATGGAAGTGTTTTAGGAAATGAACAGACAGACAAACATATTGGCTGGATATGCACCATTTGATGGTCAATTTTTGCATGACAAGGTAGACGTTATCAAGGCCTGTTAGAGAAAGGGAACTGTATGGAGGCACACACAGATTATCATTGTCTGAAGAGAATGGTGCAATGGAGAGAGACCAGAAAATCTGGCCACACTCAGGGAAAAGGCAAGATGGAGATGCAGTCACACAGCTACTGATACCATTGGAATTGTAACACAGAGACCACACCACACACGATGAAGCTCACTGTATAAACCCTCAACACATTGGCAGCTATAAGCCTCTTTCAACTATAGGGAAAAGATGGCACAGACACGTAACAAGGTCTATAACTTTTCTTGGCTTCTGTAGAATGAAAAGAAGAGAACAATCTGATCAAGAAGAACCTGGATACAAAATTTAGCTTTCTGGGCAGAACTCAAACATGCAAACATTATTAAGTTCACTCCATCTGATCGACAAAGATAGAGGGAGCTGATTAAACAGTGAACAGCATCTAGTACTCAACAGCATGCAGCATTATGGGACAATAAAGATTGTCTAGTTGTAATCATTCCCTCTTATACTATCTTCTGTGGCTATGATGTCAATTCACACTTGCAATTTGTTTTTATTTCCTAGTTTAAGCACTATGAGAAAATTCATACAGGAACAGTGCTATTCAGGCCAGTATAGTTTTAAATTATAAGTTATTCTCCTTTTTTCTGATGAAAAAATTCCAATAGATAACTTGATATTACAGGTGTAAAACTTACAACTTTACTGAAGAGTCACTGAGTAGATGCAGTATTGGTGAGAAGCTGGTGTTTGATCAATACAATCCTTCAGTTCTGGATGCTTTCTTTATCCTCGTTAATACAATTAAGGATATTCATCGGAATGCATGTAAAAATTTGTCAGGTGAGTGGGATTCAAATAAAATGTTCCCCGTGTGGGTTCCTGGGCCTTATTTTAGGGAAAACAAGAATAGACCCACTGCCTTCTCAAAAGCAATGTCGTAAGTGTCGACTAATTGGGAGCTTTCTTAGAAGTCAGAGTGCATCTACCTGGAAGGCAAGGAACCAACAGTCTGCATACCAATAAGTCAGATCTGTAAAATAATGCACATGCAACACTCAAGTTCTGGCACAAAACTACAGTTGTGAAGTGGTTGACCAACCATAACTTTTTGCCAGAGTTTACAGATGGTGAACGTGATGAAGAAGAAGCAGAAGAAGAAGAAGAAGAAGAAGAAGAAGAAGAAGAAAATATACTTGACTTTACAGTTAAAGCTAAGAAGAATGTCTTCCGTGCACTGGGTTTTATTCCATGTGTCTTGGTCCCTCTGTAGACTGGCAAACCGGTTTCCAAGAGTGTCATAAAAAACACAAACTCTATAGCTTCAGCAAAAATTGCCAGCACTCCTGAACTGAACATCATGCCTAGAAAATGAATCCATGACTTCCAGAGCATTATACAAATGACTTTTCCACTTCACCATGGAGACCCAAGGTTTAAAAACAAAAATAATGAGCTTGTATAAAATGGAACAATTTCAACAGTGGGTTCAGTCAAGCAAAAAGGGTACCTCACTGTTAAACTTACTCCTTTGTGCAACTCTTTATGGCATAAGCATAACAATTGTTGGTGAAAATATGGAGTTACAGAAACAAGGCTATTTAGTGACATATAAACAACCATTTAGTCAGATTGACCTAACTGTTTGATCACATACACATAACTATTTAGTCACATAAAGATAGCTATTTAGTCACACAAACATAGAAATTTAACCAAACATACAAATTATTCAGTCACATACAACCATTTAGACACATATATGCCCCTGACACCCACCCCCACCCCCCACCCCCCAAAAAAATTGTAAGGCCATATATTAAACTCTAGCATCATATGCACAGTGTGCCATTGGGTTAAAAGAATTTTTTTTAATTGCTGTCTCACATTATTTTCACTACATCAGGTCTCATTGCAGACCTTCTGTTGTTAACTTTCTCAAACTTTAAATTTAATTCTATACTCTTAATTCCTCTCAGCAGCAGTAAACACATGTTCTTTGAAAATGCATTATCTTCCCTTAACTAGCATCATATTTTTGTATTTTGTTGCAGAATACAGAACCATTTTCAAGCTATACGAAATGCTCATTTAAAGTTTCTATACAGAGACATGTAGTCTAAGGGAACCAGATGTTTATATTCTCAAAGCTCTAATATGGCATTTTTTTTCAGGCCCTTGTGACACTTTCAAGGCAGTCATGAAAAATGGTTTGTTGAATGGCTATAATCTGAAAAACCTGGACTACACAGCTATAAAGCCTGAGTTTCTGCCCCCAGAATTTTTTTGCGTAAGCTACAGAAGATCTCTGGAGACTTTGAAGTAGTTAATCAGCCACTGTACTCATTACAGGCCATAGAACAGGGCAGCTTTTTCAAGGTCTGTGAACTATTCAGTTTTATTTAAACTGAATGAATGAATGAATGAATGAATGAATCAATCAATCAATCAATCAGTCAATCAATGAGTCAATAAATAACTGACATCTGTGCACTCAGGACATTTCCATTCCTGCTCCAGCCCCTTTCTCAGTACCCAAAATGAGTTTTCATACTAATGGTGTTCATCCTGACTAAAATGTTTTCTATGTGGGTAGAAAATCATCCAGGCACTCTGCTCATCCCCAGCAGAATCGTACTCTCCAGATATGGGTGATCTGTTTTGCTAAACTTTTATTAGATCCTAGATAGCTCCCACCACCTCACTTTATTATAAAAAAGTTCACCACCAAGAGGAATAGCAGCAGTGCATCTTTACTCATGTGCACTCAAATGTCCTGGGCGAAAACCCACAAAATGCTTCATCTCTGTATCTAATCATGTGATGCAAGCCACTCTGATAACAAGACAACAGTTTCGTTTTTCCTTTATTTTTTTTTTTTTTTGTAGCATGCTTTACAAATTATAATTATACTCTCCTCTTGAGCTATTAGAAATCTGTCATTGTTCTAAAACTAAATGTTGTGACCTCATATGTGAGGCATTTTTTTTTTCCAGACAGCTTCCATTTTTCTTTGCTATGAAATCTTACCTACTCCTTTTACCTCTCATTACAAATGAGTCTGTGTATATTGTGTTATCTTCACCTGGGTGGGAACTCTTTACTGATCAGTTATTGCACCAATACTTCTGTTTCTGCAGTTATGCATACATTCGTGCCACCATTTATCGATAGAACTTTAACTCTTAAGCAGGTCTGTTTTGCTTGGTGGCATTGCCATACATTCCTAACCATGCATTACCTGGTAAGGTTCCCACATATTTCTGAAAGTGAATTCTGCCTGTGCTATCCAAGAGCCACCTCTTTTCAGCCTATGCCCCTTAGTATCACCAAATGCCTCGTGCAAAAAGCATTTACTATCCTCTGTGAATTGACTGTATCTTTAATAAACAGATAGTAAGGTCAGAATATATGCCACACTCAAACAATTTAAATATCCTTTGCTCAAACCAAAATAACTCTTAGTTGCATTTTGCATGCATTCCAGTAACATACACTGTTTGTGTTGATTTTAGTATTTTTGTTTGTATTTGTTTAAAAAGAAACCTTATTGGCTGGCATATTTAATTCAATCATTACCTTTTTTTACAGTGCTTGTTTTTTACCGCTGGTAATCATGTCTTTCCTCACGCTTCTGTGTTATTTACTTTCACTCATTTCTGCTCCAACTTATACTGCATGCCAGGAATGCCAAACTACTAATGCAAATAATCAGTTATCTTTAAAAGCTTATTTCATTCAAGATGTCTTCTAAAACAAGCTACTGTTATACTCTCAGATAAATGTAAGGCTGGTTGATTAATGTGAGCACTTGAGAAGACTGAGGTGTGAGTTTAATGAATTGTGATACTTGAATTGTGAATATTAGTACATCTGCATTCCCACAACCTTTCATATATGTTTAACAATTTGGTTTATTATTTTGGTTCTTTTTCTTAAAGTCCATGTTGTGTGATGTTGGTAGTCATGTCTATCCACAACCATGTGTCTCGTGTACTTTCAGTCAACTTTGACACAGATAATCCTCCATGCCTTGATGTCAAACTGTCCAGAGTTTCTGTTCTCTCTTGGTCTCCCTCTAACTCTCTTTCCCTCCAATTTTCCCACTGTCATGATGTACTCCAGTTTCTGTTCTTTCTTGGTCTCCCTCTGCCTCTCTTTCCCTCCAATTTTCCCACTGTCATGATGTACTCCAGTTTCTGTTCTCTCTTGGTCTCCCTCTAACTCTCTATCCCTCCAATTTTCCCACTGTCATGATGTACTCCAGTTTCTGTTCTTTCTTGGTCTCCCTCTGCCTCTCTTTCCCTCCAATTTTCCCACTGTCATGATGTACTCCAGTTTCTGTTCTCTCTTGGTCTCCCTCTAACTCTCTTTCCATCCAATTTTCCCACTGTCATGATGTACTCCAGTTTCTGTTCTCTCTTGGTCTCCCTCTAACTCTCTTTCCCTCCAATTTTCCCACTGTCACGATGTACTCCAGTTTCTGTTCTCTCTTGGTCTCCCTCTAACTCTCTTTCTCTCCAATTTTCCCACTGTCATGATGTACTCCAGTTTCTGTTCTCTCTTGGTCTCCCTCTAACTCTCTTTCTCTCCAATTTTCCCACTGTCATGATGTACTCCAGTTTTCTCCTTCTCATGACATGACCCAAGAATGTCGATTGTCTTCTTAACAATATGTCCGCCTAACAGGCATATCATGTATGGATCTAATTATTTTTTCACTGTACAAAGTGAATAAATCAGGTGATAGTACACCTTCCTGAGGTTACACAAACTTAAAACATTGTTTCACTTCTGCCTAATATATCATCATTTAAAAAAACAAAATTCTTTTCTTATCTTTTTTGTTATACAATATAATGGCTTTGAAAAAAAAGGAAAGCATGAATTATAATATTAACTCATTTAGTACCAAGAAAATCATCCGGTATTTGTCAGATTCAGTTATGATGATTTACTTTTCTGTTTTTGTTGTGTTTTTTTTTAAACCACTTATGAGCCATCTAATTTTTGTACTAATCCACTTTGGACCAATTCTTACTTTAGCCCATTTTTTTCAAAGTATTATTAACCAAAAACATGTATTACTTAATGTAACAACATTTTAGAACAGAATGAGTTATTGTAACAACTGTTTCACACTGAATGAGTTAATACCCACATGCATGCTATTCTTGTTTCATTTACCAGGTTGCAGAATTTCAAGGGGACACAGTTGTAGCAACTCCTGAGCTTGATGGCATTTTTAGCAGCTCTGAGTGCAAGGACATTTGTACAGATTGCCGGAGTGTTGGAGAAATCAGCTACCTGTTTCATCCTGGAGATGTCATATTTATAGGAATTTTCTCAATACAATGGCAGTCAGACCAGAATCCTTACAAGTGTGATAAGTATAGGTATATTATATTGATTGTATGATTCTAAAAACAGATACAACAAAAACAGATGTATAGTCTATTTATAGTTAGTGTTATATGATGTTAGTCCCTGTGGGGTTTGTGAGGTCTTATTTTGGAAAGTGGGGAGGGGGGCGGGGGAGGGAAGAAAAAGATATGGACCTACTTCCTTCCCAGTTAACATTTTTTGAATATATATACACATATGTATGTTAGTCTGCAGTTTTGCTGCCTGGGCTTCTGAGTTTAGTGCTTTGCACAGCCCTGTGAGCTGTGTTTTTCATGTGGAATATCTTTAATTTGTGTAGTGACTGAGTTGTGGAATTCAATATGGCTGGTAGCCGGTTTACATGTGGGGCTGGAAAAATATCTTACGTAATCATTTTCATGTGCATAGCCAACCTATCATGCCCGACTACTTCCATCAATAGCAGACTGCATTTCTGGTGGCGAATGTTGGCTTTGGCACCTCTAGCAACTGTCATATGCCTTTACTGTGTGCCCATATTTCTGAATTGTTCTGGGACTAATTGTTCACCAGTTTTTCAAATGGAACAGTGAGGGACATTTCATTTGACACAGGAATGCAGCAACCATAGGGGGACCCAACTGCAGTGAAGCTGAAACCTTGACTAAGACTATGACTTTTTTTTTCTTTTGAAATCTGAAATATTTGCAGCCAGTCTGTAAATGACAACATGCCAAAAACACTTTTCAGGACATTCTGCTGTTAGTCATCTCTGGTACATTTCTTCCATGTCATGATGCTAAACTGTCCAATATAATATGTCTTGGTCTTCCTCTGCTTCTTTTGTCCTTCAGTTTTCTCTTTGTCACAGTGTACTCCCTGCTCAAGCATGCAAACAAAGAAAACATTGGTGGCCACCTCCACACCCATCTCCCTTCCTCAGTCACCATACAAATTTACTAGACAGTAAGGGGTCATGGTAGCTAGGAAGGTCTAACACTAGTTTGAGAGCATAGTGATAATGTGCTGACTGAGAAATAAATGTAATAATATGATTGAAATAGTATCTTATGACTAATAATATCTGCTACATCTGTTATAGTAAAATAGGCCACTGTGTGTTGCAGTCTTGGTAATTATTTATTGATTTTTTTTGTTCACTTGTTTATTTGACATTTTCTAGTTGGAGTTAAACAAATCCTTTTAAACTTCCATTTCATAACTTTGTCCATTCTTCCTTTGATAAGTAATAAGGGTAAATTGTAGCAGTTTACCATCTAACACAGTCACCAGAATATGATCAAATCTGAGTTATTGTTTTGCCCCTTATATTCATATCTTCTCTCACTTAATTTATAGTCATTCATTTAAATTAGGTATAAATATTTGTATGTGAAGAATAAGTTGTATTGTTTAAAACATGATTTTTGTGTAATTACATTAACACAGATACGATTAACCTTTCAGAGAAATGAGCACTTCCTACATTGCTCTAGAGGCATTCATCAGTATTGTTCATCAACTGAAAAATATCACTAATGTTGACTTTGGCTATCTCATTCTTGATGACTGCTACAATGCACTCACCTTAACAAGATTGTTGAATGGGGTAGGTGGATGTTAAATAGGCTGTTATTTTCATTACCTGTAATGTAACACATAAGATGTCAAGATTGGCCTTTGCTATGATATAAAAATGTGTGCAAGTGGTACATGAATGATACAGGAATTTAGGTAGATTCATGGGAACAAAATGTGTGTGGGGGGGGGGGGGGGGGGGGGGGGGGAATACTATAGCCAGTTTTGCCTGAAGAGGGAAAATCAGGAAGATAAAGTAAAATCATAGATAGGCTGAGAGCTGAGAGTCTGAAAAGAAGCACACTAAATATATGTCATAACAACAATAATCCTGCAATCCCATACTCCAGTTGTGGAAGACTTTTCTAAAGGTAGGTGGGTCTTGCTAGTGAGACTCACCATTGCCATGGTCTGTGATTGTTATGCCTCACCATACCACAATACAATACTATCATCTGAACGACAGAGAGGTGCCAACAACATTGTAAAGAACAATTTCACACCAATGATGCTCTCAGCATATTGTGTTAGGACCATTGTTTTGTAGATCAGTCTACCCTCAGTTGGTAAGGACCATTCTTTTGTAGATAAGTCTACCCTCAGTGGGTCAGGACCTTTCTTTTATAGATCAGTCTACTCTCAGTGGGTAAGGACCATTCTTTTTTAGATCAGTCTACCCTCAGTGGGTCAGGACCATTCTTTTGTAGATCAGTCTACCCTCAGTGGGTCATGTGCTCATTGTCATGTCAACAACTTTTACTTCTAGTACATTTTGTTATACTTATTTATATTAAAATAAATTTAATTAAACATATGAAAAGATTTGAAGTAAAAGCAAGAGGCTGCCTTAGAAAAAATCGACTGATGGCATTAAAGAGCTTCTACATTGACAGGGAATGACAATAGCCATTGCTGCCCATCAAGCAACAGATTGCAAACTGTTCCTCCCCACAATGCTTAACAGCACAGAAGTGGAAATTGATGATGATGATGATGATTTAAATTATGTTTACCTAGAAGCCCTAACCAATTAGAAAACTCCATCTCAGTAAAGATTTGAATTAAATATTTTAAGGCTATTATGCATTAGACTTGCCACTGAAGTTCACCCCCCCCCCCCCCCCCCCCCTCCCCATCCTTTAAAAAAAAATGCCCAGCCGTTACTAGCAGCGAATGCCAGTAAATATGTATTCATGTTTAAGGAATATTTAATTTTCATATATAAACTTCTTACAATATTCAGTTAGTGTATTCTGCTAGAACTAATTTTTAATTTACAATATTTATAATCTTACATAGGAGGAGTCAAAGTTGCAATTGTAATAATAGCGTAGAAGGTCAAGGGCTTAAATGTACAAAAAGGCAGATTTCATTTTCATATTTGACCTTGCCTTTATGTTTGACAAAGCCTAAAATTGGCACCAGCTAAAGGACCACATCACCCTTTGAGTGTTAACTGGTCTATTTAAAAAAAAAAACAACAACAGCAACAACAAAAATGGTCTATCACTATATGCCTGATGTCGCTAAGCTAAACAGGGTTCTTCAATTAATTTACTTACTATCGTATTTCTGATTTGTCATCAGCTTGACAAGAATCCTTAGCTTGTGTATGTGCTTTTATAACGGTCCTTTATCAAAAAGACAATTGCAGTCATGTTTTTCCACATCTTCTAACCACAACAGAATGTATAAATCCCCCCCCCCCCCCCCCTTTCCCACAAACCTCTGATCTATAGAGACATCAATGACTTGATAATCAGTATGTATAGAACATATCCTATTTTTTTTCATAACACAATGATCTGTATTTGCCTAGGTGATGAGTGGAGATATCGCAATTCAAAGTTCTAGTGGTCATAAGTTCAATCCCTCACAAGTTGCTGTTGTAATTGGAGCTCAGTCAAGTGATGTCACCATGGCAGCTCTTCCCATTCTCACTGAGCTAGGCATTCCTATGATTTCTTACAGGTGATTCAATGTTTATGTGATTCATTGTTTGGTTGCTTTTTTTGGCTGACTGGTTTGTTGTTTGGTTGCTTTGTTTGGCTGACTGGTTTGTTGTTTGGTTGCTTTGTTTGGCTGACTGGTTTGTTGTTTGGTTGCTTTTTTTGGCTGACTGGTTTGTTGTTTGGTTGCTTTGTTTGGCTGACTGGTTTGTTGTTTGGTTGCTTTGTTTGGCTGACTGGTTTGTTGTTTGGTTGCTTTGTTTGGCTGACTGGTTTGTTGTTTGGTTGCTTTGTTTGGCTGACTGGTTTGTTGTTTGGTTGCTTTGTTTGGCTGACTGGTCTGTTGTTTGGTTGCTTTGTTTGGCTGACTGGTTTGTTGTTTGGTTGGTTAGTTGGTTGGTTTGTTTGGCTTCTTGATTGTTTGACTGGTTGGTCAGTTTGTTTGTTTGTTTGGCTGTTTGGTTGATTGATTGTTGTTGCTGGGTTGCTTTTTTTGTGGTTTTGTTGGTTACTTAAATTTGGAAAGTTTCTTGTTTTCTTGGTTTAAGTGGTTGCTTTAAATGGTTGTTTGGTTTATCTGGTCCATGGCATATGGTGCTGGTAGTCATGTCTATCCATAACCTTCTGTCTCATGTATATCCAATCAATTCTTACACGGATGACTTCAATGCTATCATGTCAAACTCTAGTATTTGTACTCTTGGTCTTCCTTAACTTCTTTTCCTCTCCAGCTTCCCACCATGATGATGTACTTCAGTTTCCTCCTTCCCATGACATGACCATAGAATGTAGATTATGAATATCTCCTTTTGATGTAAACAATTAGTTTTCTTCATGAGTCAGTTTCTTTCAAGAGATCTTCATTACTCTTTTTTAACAGTCTAAGCTATTATCATAATTCATCTATAAAACCCTATCTCCGCCACTTTCAAATAATTTTCTGCTAAGCATCCAGCTGTCCATAATTCACTTCCATTGTCATGATATGATTTATATGGCTCTACAGATAAAGATTTCATTGAATGTTAATGTTGCAAATCCTAGCCAAATCTTGAATAGCAATGTGTTAGTTATTTCGATTGCGTATGAAAAAAGCATATCATATTTTCTTTGATTGACTGGTAATTCATTATTACTTCCAGTGCCACACATCAAGTTCTGGACAACAGAATTATATATCCCTTTTTCTCTCGAACAGTGAGCAGTAATGTTGTTCAGTCCAAGGCTTTTATTAGTATACTGAAATATCTTGAGGTAAGTGAAAAATATTGCTAGGATTAGTTAGTTATTTAGTTGGGTTATCATCATTGCACTCCGGACATGTCCATAGGTGCTCAGATCCTCCCCTCAGTATGAACCCCAACGTCCGATAGATAATAGTACCAGTTCTATGTTGATTAACAAGTCTTCTGGGATGTCTGGTGTGTGTCTCGTTTTTTGATATGCAGATCTTAATTCCCAAGTCTGCTAGGATTGTCACAGACTAATACATGTACATAGCATGATACTCCACAATCATGTACTAGTGAGTAAGAAAAGTAAAAGACCCATTTCCACTGCTTCAGGCTAGACCTAAATTTTTTAGACCAGTCAGCAGATGGTGGTCAGCAACATGCCTGCTGCCTTTACTTCCCAGGACTTTTACCTGGTACCCATTTAATGCAGGGTCAACTTGAGAGTCAAGGTCATTTCCCCAAAAAATTGTCCAGCCCTGCTCGGTTTGAATCCTACGATCTTCAGATCCGCAATTACATGCTACCATCTTTATAATACAACTGACCATTTTCTATCGTTGCTGCTATTGTGTCAGTAAATTCTGCATCATTAGTTTTCCCACAATTTACTGTACCTTCCAGTCTTTCTCTTCTCATAATAAGGCCACAAACTATGATTGCATTTTTTTTATTAGGTCAGTTCTGGAAGGTTCAAAGTAAATTAGGGTTGCACACCCAAAAAGAAAATTTGAGGGAGTGGGGGAGGCTCCATGGACCTAAGCCTTGTTTAAGTGATAAATAATAAAAATATTTAAAAAGTAATAAATTAATAAAATGCTGAGTGGCAAATAAGTATAAGATTACAAAATTATATGACATGTACAGGGAGCTGCTGTAGTGCAGTGGCTAGACTCTCACCTGCCCCTGAAGGTCATAGGTGCAAATCCATATCAAGCCAGATTTTGTTGAGAAATTACATTGGCTCCCAGACTGAGCTAGTCTAAAATGGGTACCAGGTGAATTCCTGGGAAGTAAAGGCAGCTGGCAATCTGCTGACCATGGCATCTGCCATGTATGAAAATACAGACTATATGCACAGTATGCCTAAGGGTATGAAACAGGGTCCTTTCACAAATTACATGTGTAAATAAAATGGTTGGGGAGAGAAAGGGCAGCTTAGACTTAAAAAAGAAATATGTTTGAATATTAATGATTATACAGTATATTTATTTATCGATAAGCAAAGTACAGGTAATAAAGGGCTTGTATTCACACTTTATGTTGGTTCTGGAGGCCCATTTGGGGGGGGGGGGGGTGCGCGGTGGGGGGGGGGAGGGGGGAAGAGGGGAGAATAGGATCACTACCCCCCTAACAAGTATGTAATAAAGGCCCCCCAAAAAAGTCAGAGTGCATCTGCCTGAGAAGAAATGAACCATCAGTCTGCATATAAGTAAAATTTATCTGTAAAACAAGTGTTTGCACACAAAACTTAAGTTCTTGAACAAGACAAAAGTCCAGAATTGGGTGAACAAACAGAACATTCCACCAGAGTTTACAGCCAGGTCAACGCTAAGGAAAAAAAAAGGACAGTGTCAGAAATGCTGCGTCCCTGTGTGGGTTAGGGGTCCCCATTTTGGGGAAAACGTGAATAGACCCATTGCCTCCCCAACAAGCATTTTGTAAAAGTCCATTAATTGGGGGCTTTTTTTGAAGTTGGAGTGCATCTGCCTGGGAGGCAAGGAACCCACAATCTGTATACAATTAAGTCAGATCTATTAAATGAATGTGCACACAACACTAAGGTTCTGTAACCAGAACTATCCGCTGGAGTTTACAGCCAGTGAACGTAAAGAAGAAGAAGAAGATATACTGGACATCTGGCACTAGAAGACCCAAACTATTATGGACCAACTGCTTCAGATTGGGTGCTGCAGTCTACATCACACAGGCTGTCTTTACTTCCCCAACCATGTTTTCTACCCATTTCAAACTTGATTGATCTGAAGCACTGGCCACATAAAAATAAATACCACTGGGGATTTAAACACATGCCCTTTGGTCTGACATGCAAGGATGCAAGCTATTCACTGCCCTGCCACATGTCCCCAGTTGCTGACTGTATAATAGCAAGTTTATGCTTTTTTTTTTTTTTTTAGTCTGTAAGGATCTTGCTGAACCAACCCCAGCAAGTTTTAGCTGTTAGGTTGAGTTAAGTCAAGAATTGACATCACAGCACTCCCTGTGTTTGTTCCATCCTCATCTTCAGCACCCAGAGCAGAGTTCCAATATGATGGTACCAGTCACAATCTGGTTATTTCAGTCTTGCCTTTCTTCTGAGTGTAGTGAGCCGCCCAGACCCTCTGGTTACACCCAGGTGCCTCATTCTCTCCAGGCCATAATAATTATGTTTCTCTACTGATTCCGTTTCTTGTTCCCAAAGGGCCTTGACCACATCTGCCTTGTCATGTATCAATTCACCACCCAGTGGTGCAGATCCAGCAAATCTGCGTGTTCATTACTCACCCCGCCGGCATGGTCTGGAGAAAAGATCTAAAGTATGGTCCCTACCCATGAGTTGTTAGGTATTACTAGGCAATTTTACGTCCAGTAGTTTGTCATTACTTCCTAAATGTGAGGCTCTGAATGTCATTGATGAAATCATTGGAAAGCCAAATCATCACAGCTAGAACCAGACCAAGTAACTCAGAATTGCAAAGCATATTTTTATAAAGTGTTTAACAATATAAACAATTACAAATTATTCTTTTTTTTTTTTAAGGTGACATTCGTTGGAGTTATAGTGGTTGAAAATAGCTATGGTCTTGAATTGTACGATCTCTTCAGACGTTCAGCAGAAGTTGAGGGGATTTGTGTGGATGATGCTGTTAGAGTCAGTAATCAGATTCCCGATTACAACTTTGCTTCAGTTTTAGATGGCTACAGAAGTAAAAAGATACAGGTATATTTTAACCCATTTCTTAGATTAGAACAGTTATATATTCTTTTGTACAAACAGCAATGTAAATGGTATGAAAACTGCTGTTAGTAGCTGAACTGTTTGAACTACTCATTTTACAAATTCATCATGAATCAAACACCATTTATGTGCATCATATTACATATATTTTATGCTGCATAATCATAATCAGATCAAGTGCCAAGCTTAGTGATAAAGGTTTTGATCCTATCTTGCTCTTGTACTGTTCAGTATTCTTCTTGGGCTTCACACAGGAAAGTCATTTTGCCATTTCTGCTGCTACGAATAAGTCAAAAAAGTTCCAACATAATGAAGAAGAATGCTGAAAACACAAGCTTCATAGACAAGGGCATTTTGTTTTAAATGTGAACTTTCTCTTCTCCAGAACTTTTGTTGTTGTTAATCTTCTCATTGTTGTGTTGCCTTGTTTGTCCTGATGTAACATTTTTTTTAACTAGTCTACAGGTATTTATTATATGGAAATGAAATTTACTATATGTTTATATTAAAACATGTAAATATTCTATTGACATGGAAATTACTGTATGCTTATGTTACTACAGGTAATTAATATGAAGTAGAAGTTTTTACATGTTATACATGTTAACATGAAAGTTACTATATCTGTTATTGTAAGATTTTAATCATATTGAGATGGCAGTTACTGTATGTTTATATTACTATAGGTAATTATCACTAATGACATGTAAATTATTATATGTTTTTATGATTCTATAGATGTCTATCAATACAGGAATAAAAGTCACCATATATTTTAATGACAGAAGGTAATTATCATTGCTGACATAAAAGTCAATATATGCATTATTGACTTCACAGGTTATCATCGTTATTGCCATGGAAATTACCATCAAGAGTCTCCTCAAAACAGTCAAGCAGGAAGACACTTTTGTGTTTCTTGCAAGTGAATCCTGGGGTCCCAATCCTGACTTTCTCCATGATGGTGGAAAGAAAGCAAGAGGTTGTTTAGTGCTAGCAACAGCACCTTTGAAACTTAATTACAACATCAAGGTTAGCCTTTTTTTAAAGTGTTAATAAAGATCTTCCTTTTACAAATTTGTAATGAATAGCTTCATGTATGTTGTTTATTATGACTTCACAGAGTAGATCTTTTCATACAAATTGTTTATCATGATTTCACAAAGAAGATTTCATCAGATCCAATGTTCACCATCACTTCCTAAAGATGCCTTCTTATCTTTTGTTTGCTCATCATACTAGAAATTTACAAAATGTTTTGAATGGGTAAATAGTCGCCATCGAATGTCGAATACACCCTGAGGAAAGTCTGAACTCACGTGCATGTACTCCATTGCACGGTTCATTTAGAGGTGCAATCAACATAAGCAAGAAGGAGAGCTACTCAGCAGTTTAAAAAGATTTCATTAGCATGCAAAAAATTAACAATGATATGACTTCATAACCGGTACTATTGTTCATCATAATTTCACAAAGAAGATTTCATCAGATCCAATGTTCACCATCACTTCCAAAAGATGTCTTTTTATCTTTTGTTTGCTCATCATACTAGTAATTTACAAAATGGACAAACAAATTTTGTGTGTGTTTTTGTTTTGTAAATTAATGAGAAGAAACTTTATGGTATGTATTTAACATTGGACTATAGACGTGTCTTTGTTACTGTCTTTTTATCTGTTCTGTTTCCCATGAGATTTTAATTATTTATTTCTATAAACTGTTTTGTTACCCAGATATTATAACCAAATATAATAACTTCCGTTGTAAACAGCCACAATGGCGGTACGCTTTTTCATCCGTTGAGGCGAATGGTGCAAATTTGCTATTTTCGCTCACTTATAATGTGAAACTTTTATCGGAATGGGATCTGAACCGTGCAATGGAGTACATGCACGTGAGTTCAGACTTTCCTCAGGGTGTATTCGACATTCGATGGCGACTATTTACCCATTCAAAACAGACCTATAGAACCGGTACTATTAGCCATCGGACACTGAGGTTCATACTGAGGGGAGGATCTGAGCACCTATGGACATTTCCAGAGTGCAATGATGATAATCCAACTAACTAACTAACTAATAACCAAATGCATATGGTTATATCATCATTTAGAGGTGCAATCAACGTAAGCAAGTTTAAATATCCGCACACCTGAAAACAAAAGCTGCTAGCCTGCAATTTTTTTGAAATGCCATACTTTCTTGTGGTATAATGAAGAGATATACATATGTACAGACATCCTCAGAGTTTAGCATCGAACAGTATTGATTTTTAAAATTATTAGATTGTACTGCAACTGACCACTCTGCCTGATATGGTTGGGATCTCTGGTGATAAAGTAGCCAGTTATGCATTGCAAAAGCAATATGAGCACACAGAGACATTTGTATTTAAAAATTTCTACCATAGAGTAAGTAGACACATAATAATGTGTCGCTAAAACTATTAGAGTGAGCAGACATCAGCTTTAGATTGCAGGGTATTTTGTAACTATAGGGTATTCCACACTATGTGTTTTATGTGGTAGAATGCGGTTTCTGGCACTTGTGCCTGTTTTTTTTTTATCCATTAGATGTTAATCCTGTGATCTGCAATTGGAGTTGGGGGAGGGGGGGGGGGGGCTGGGGGCGCGAAAATTTAAGCCAAGATGACAATGCATGAACATAGAAGGAAAAAAAAGAGACAAAATAACACATAAAGTGAACATATCAGAACAAGCAGATACGATAATGCATGTTAGAGTAAGGAAACATGATAATGCATGTTAAATAAATTAGAGTATGAATTCATTAGACTAAATGGACATATGATAATGCATGCACTTAATATATTAAAGTGAGTAGATTTATGATAAAGCACAGATTGAACTTTTTTCATTATTTCAATATTACTAATTGTTCATGAAACAGAAGCACTTAGAAACCCTGGATCCCTATAAAAATACAAGCACAGTCTGGCTGCGTGAGTTTTGGCAAGATCAGTTTCAGTGTGACATGCCAGGAGGTTTCAGTAATACACATGGGGGCAACATCTGCAGCAAGTCTCCACACAGTATAAGGTTTGTCTCTTTACCCACTTATTCTTAAAAATTTTCCAATTGCCCTACTATTTTCACTCCTCAAACCCAAACCTTGATTACTTTAATTAACACCTAATTGATACCAAAAGAGCTAAATACAACTCTACCCCTTTAAATGTATTCATCTTTTTCTAGAACCCTTCAAAACAAGAGTAAGAGTAATCAGCATATTTTTGTCTATCTTTTTCTCATTTTACGTTATTATTCTTACTAACCTCTTACCAGCTGAAAATCACAGCAAATAGTTTAAATGGCTTAAATGGTAAACTGAGAAAACTACCAACACAACAATATTTATCTTCACAAATTAAAAAAAAATTTTTTCTAAATAAGTGTGTGTGTGTGTGTGTGTGTGTGTGTACGTGCGTGCGTGCGTGCGTGCATGCGTGCGTGCGTGCATATATATATGTGTATACATATATATATAAATGTATATATATATATACATACATATATTTTAATGGGAAAGCTCATGTATGTAACCATAGTATTCAAAGTGATTGCCTCCCAACCAAACCATTAATTTCATACCTTTCTGCATTTCTCTTCTCAGTTTGTGGCTGAAGAATGTTGATGTTGCTTTTTGATGACTCTTGTGAGCTTTTTTTTTGTGTGTCTCCACCTCTTTTCAAAACTTTTAAATTCCTATTATATTAATTATCCATGGTATTATTAAATAAACGTTTTGCTAAACAACAAATAACTATGTTACCAACTTGTTCCCATAAAATGTATGCTCAGGTACATAAACATTATACATTTTGTAAGTGACTTGTTTTTGTTCTGCAAAAATAGCACAGCTTTAGATGATCTTGCAGATTCTCCTTTAGCTGTCCATGCAGCAATGGCAACAATGAGTGCAGGCTTGACTGTCAGGTTAGTTGCACACTGCTTCTATCAACCTAGTTATTTTGATTGTATTTTACCATTCTGATTGAAACAATATTCAACAATAAAACCAACAATAAATCATGATGTTTCCCTATGGGCTTTGGAGCCCAAATATAGGGGAGAAAAGAACTGATCCCTGCCCCATAACAAGCACATTGTAAAGTAAAATTATTTAGGATGTTTCCTTTGACATCAGAGTTCATTTGTCCAAGAGGTGGGGAACCAACAGCCTGCATACAAATAGGCCAGATGAGTAAAATTGATGTGAATAATAAAAAAAAAAACAATTTCTGGAATAAAACTCAAATCACAAGTTCTGGAATAAAACTCAAGTCCAGAAGTGGAGAAACAACCAGAACTCACTGCCCTGGTTTACAGCTGGTGAACATGAAGAAGGAAAAGAAGAGAAAGAGGAAGGAAGGAAGGAAGGAAGGAAGGAAGGAAGGAAGGAAGGAAGGAAGGAAGGAAGGAAGGAAGGAAGGAAGGAAGGAAGGAAGGAAGGAAGGAAGGAAGGAAGGAAGGAAGGAAGGAAGGGAGGAAAGGGAGGGAAGGGAGGGAGGGGAGGGAGGGAGGGAAAGGAGGAAGGGAGGGAAAGGAGGGAGGGAGGGAGGGAAAGGAGGGAAGGAAGGGAGGGGAGGGAGGGAAGGAAGGGGAGGGAGGGGGAGGGAGGGAAGGGAGGGGAGGAAGGGAGGGAGGGAGGGAAGGGAGGAGAGGAAGGGAAGGGAGGGGAGGAAGGGAGGGAAAGGAGGGAGGGGAGGGAAAGGAGAGAGGGAAGGGAGGGAGGGAAAGGAGGGAGGGAAGGGAGGGAGGAAGGGAGGGAGGAAGGGAGGGAGGGAGGGATGGAGGGAGGGAAGGGAGGGAGGGAAAGGAGGGAGGGAGGAAGGAAGGGAGGGAGGGGGAGGGAGGGAGGGAGGGGGGAGGAAAGGGAGGGGAGAGAGGGAGGAAGGGAGGAGAGGAAGGAAGGGGAGGGAGGGAAGGAAGGGGGGGGGAGGGAGGGAGGGAAGGGAGGGAGGAGGGAAGGGAGGGAGGGAAAGAAGGGAGGTAGGAAAAACATCTGAAGATACTGCTGACTACTATCAGTCATTATAGGATACCCTGTAAGCAGTACGGATCAGTAGTGGACATGTGTTGAACCACAGCCTTTAGAGAGACCTGTGGCCTTATATGAAAAACCATTTATCGAGAGAATAAAACAGTAGAGGATTTCATAAGAAACTAGACATCTATTCTTTTACAATTATGACACATGTTGATAGTGACCATATTTTAACATTTTTTTTTCAGTAATGAAATCTTGAAACTTTATTTCAGTGATTTTTTGAAGAGCGGCAAACAGATGCCATTTAATGCTGGGGAATTTACCAAGGCTCTGAGGCAAGTTAAAGTGATGTCATCATCAGGAGAGCTAAGACCATTCAATGATGCTGGAGATAGCGACAACGGATTTGATATATTCAATGTTCAGTCAACTACAGACAGTAAAGACAAGTATATCTATGTTAAAGTAAGACATCTTAGTTCTAGATTTCTCCTTGCTAGTTCATCTCATTTCATCTCATTTTGGTCTTCTGGAAACTTGGGGTATCAAAGTGAAGTATAATTTATGGGAAAGAGCCCATTTGTTACATCATAAATGGGCATTTCTATTGACTCTGTTATTCCTTCTGTCTATCGTTTGCATGGTCGGTATCTTTATGGCTTCGCACCTGGTCTGTACGTCATTGCTTGCTTTGGTATTCTGTTTGTATAAATCCATGTTACATGGCAAATTATCTCACCTGTTGTCTTCTAATGAAAATTGGAGTCACTGCCACCTCTATTCTCTTTCAAATTTCATAATTCCAGATCTTATATTTTATTGTTTTATCAAGAGCTCTTGATAGGAATCTTATTTCAGTTTTAATTTGTCTTTTCTTTCTTTCTGTCATTGTTTAGGTCCGGCACTGGTAGCACAGTGTTTGCAAGAAGATTATGTCATAGAGTGCTATTTCAGTGTCTACTGACACATGTCGGTGTCTTAGTATTAGTGCCACTTGCCCAGTAAGTTAGTGTGCTAGCTCATATTTGATCTTATTACCTTTGCAAAGAATCTCTTAACCATGAAAATTAGAGTAACCTTGCCAAATGTAGTTGCCATGAACTGAGCATGTTATGATTGTTAGTTCTGCCCCCAACAGAGGAAGAAAGAAAACATCCTTTACTTTACCAAAGGTTTGAATACAAGTCTTTCACATCAGAGCCCAACATTGTATTTGCTCAGCTGCTCCTAAATAAAAAATGTAAAAAAAAAATGTAATTGTAAGGGACCCTTTTTCATGCCTTTATGTGTAAAGAACTAGATCTATATTTTACAGACTGACACCTTTTTAAAAAATCTGACTCCTTTGGACCTGAACCCATGACCTTCTGATCCACAGGTTAGCATCTAGCCACTACACCATGGTTAATACATTGATATCTCCACTTGCCCTTGTGTTGATAATGTTAAGATATGTTATGTATGATAGGAAAGATTACAGATGATTGGACAGTGGTGATAAGTATCATATAAATAGAAAGATTGATGATACCAAGAGCATTGTCAGCAATGAGGACATCTACTTGGGCCATGAATTCGATAATGTGAGCCGGGAAAAGAGAGGATTATGCTGTCATATACTCATTGTCCAGCATTCACGTATTTTCTTTACTTTGTTTATTCTTGCATCAGATTTCACCACTGTATAGACTAATTATTGAAAGTGGTTGAATTTGTTTTGCACTTAAAACTATATAGAAATATATTTAAATAAGTAATTTTATATCTTTACTGGGAGCTGTCATTGTGTAGTGGCTAAATGCTCAGCTGCAGATCCAAAGATTGTACGTTCAAATCTGAACAGTGACTTTTATTTTAAAAAAATGAGCTTGGCTGCTAGGTAATGGGCACCACATAAAGTCCTGGGAAGTTAAGATGGCCGGTGTGATGCTGACCACATCACCCATCAAGTTGCGATTGGTCTATAAAATGTAGGTCAAGCCCTATATGCCTAATATGCCTGAAGGATTTGTGAAGGGTCCTTCACTTACTTAACATATATGTACCCACTACACTATAAGGCAAGGGAACCAAATCCTTTACTGTATCTTTCTTTGTCTCTTTTGCCATGGATTCTAGTGAAAGGGATTTTAATTATAGTGTAATAAAGTTTTAAATTTCTTATGTGCCTTTTCATAACTTCTTAATTATTTTTTTTTCACTTTTTTTTTTAAAATAATTCTGCATTACTGATTCTGTCATACCAGTTTATTTCTCAGTGGCAGCAGTTAATGAAAGTCAAATCTTTTATAATATGAATTTTGTTGAGAATACCATCTCAGATATTTTAAATATTTTATTACCTGTATTACCTGTTGAACATTTAGGTTGGAAGTTATCAAGACAAAGTGGGTCTCAGTCTCAATAAATCACTCATCAAATTCTATGATGATTCTGGTCAAGTGATAGACAAAGTGGAGTCCAGCTGTTTGTATCACCAGCAGTGCAGCATGGTAATTTATGGTCAGGAAATGTTAACTATTTAATTGCTAGATCCCCATTTGGTTGTGACATTGTTTGAAGATCCCCCCCCACACCTAGTAAGCGATACATACTTGCACTACCAGCTATTATAGATAGACTCAAAGTGCTACACGCAAAGTCATATCTCAGACAAGAAGCACCTCCTGTATGAAGCCCTAGATCGAAATGGTCATCCACTGGTCTTGGATGGTGCAAGCTGAAGACACAATTAGGCATAAGTGCAGGCTTGAGAATATTAGGCGAGAAGAGGAGTGGGTCAAAGTTTCTGAGCAACAGTCAGGTTCTAATCTCATAACACTATGAGTGTAGGGACCGGCCAGTGGGCACTGTAGAATCAGAAGTTCAGTAAATGATTCATGATCATTCCTGCTCAGATATGAGCCCAGGTGGCATGTTCAGTAACAGAACAGATCTCACTAGGAACAATCGATTTCTACTTCAAACAGCTGTAAAACTTTCTTGACCAACATCAGCATGTTAATGTTTTAATTCTAATGGCACTCACCTTGTAGGATATAAAGGTACTAGAGTGCATCATGGATGCTAAATTGTTCTGCGTGTCTCTTATGTCCAGAACTGAAGTTATTTTAGTTACTAGGTGATTTTCAAACAGTATATTTACCTGCTGCATTCAGCACAAAATATTTTTCTTGGCCAGTCAAAGGTTATTAAACATTTAAATGAAACGTTATTGTCACACTGGTAATTCTGTTGTGAATTCTGCTGGGACTGAAAGAATAATATCTTGTTGGTAAATATCCTCGCCACTCAATAATTTAGACAGTAGAGATGGACTGGGCCAGAAGATGGTTGTTGGAGTCTCTGACACTGTTTAGTTTCATTATCGTATGAAGGTCAGCTCTGTGGCTAAGTCGATGCGAACACTTCGCTTCGTAATGCCGGGATGCCAGGTTCGATCCCAGCTGCGGGCAATGCGCCTTGCGTTGGTTTCGACAGTGGTATCAAGAAAGCCGACCGTCCAGCAAGCAATGGCAAACTACTGGACGTAAATTTGCCTAGAGAAACCACACAACAGCCAGGGGCTGTTAGGGTTGGTTCTGCAACGTCCTCTAGTGGATACGCAACAACCTTATCGTATGAAGACATGAAGATGTAAAAGAAAATTACTAAGTTGATAAGACTTGCAAGTGAAGCATGTAGAACCGATGGATCAGGTTGATATACTGAATGCTCTATGAGACATACGATCTTTGCAAGAACCTTGTGATAACCAAGTCTACCACCATGATCATATTACAAGAACAGCAAGTTGAAAGAGACAAGGCCAGAAAAGACCAACATGAAGGAGGCCAAAGAAAAAGAAGAAACCAAAGCATAACATGTTTTCTTCCACTATATCATTTACTAAGGAGGGAATCTGAGTGTGTATGAATTGTATGGTTTTAGTAGGTGCATAGAGGATTATTTTTTGACTAACTATCCTACCCTCTCATCTTTATGTTGTGAATTTTATTGTACAAAATCATTTCATCGTTTCTTCTGATAGGTTTGTGGTGGTTTCATAGGAAGTATCAGACCAGGATCAGCAACACCCAGCATCATAGGTAAAGCTGAAGCCGCAAAGACATCCTCCAGTGGCCCTGCTGTCATCATCCTTGCTGTTCTACTTGCATTGTTTGTGCTTGTGGCTATCTTACTTATTATTGTAGGAGTTCTGGTATTCACTGGAAAGATCCACATTAAAGGAAGACGTCTCATTAGAGGCAAGTTGAAGCTAATTATTTTAACAAAAAACTCTTCAGTATAGATGAAGATATGTCATGTTTTACTGCAGTCAGATATTTTCTCTTACTCCTATACCTTCATCTTCTTCTTCTTCTTCTTCTTCTTCTTCTTCTTCTTCTTCTTCTTCTTCTTCTTCTTCTTCTTCTTCTTCTTCTTCTTCTTCTTCTTCTTCTTCTTCTTCTTCTTCTTCTTCTTCTTCTTCTTCTTCTTCTTCTTCTTCTTCTTCTTCTTCTTCTTCTCCTTTTTCTTCTCCTTCTTCTTCTCTTCTCCTCCTTCTTCTTCATCTTCTTCTTTTTCATCTCCTCCTCCTCTTCTCTTTACTGCTCCTTCTGCTTCTTATTCTCCTCCTCCTTATCCTTTTTCTCTCATTTCTTCTTCTTCTCCTACCTCTCCTTCTTCTCATGATGTGTCTTCTTCTTTTCCTCCTCTCTTCTTCTCTTTCTTCTTCTTCTTAATTTAATATGTCTAAAGTATTTCAGTTTCCAAGAAACAGTACAGTCTATGAGCCAATCCCCTTCATTTTTTTCAAAATTTTTTGCTTTTTGTTGTCCATGATACATTATGAATCTTGCTGTAACTTTTCAATTCAGAGCCGTGATATTTTTTTTTTCTTGTTACTAAGCAATATTCCATAACTCACATCTGAATGTTGCTATAACAGGAAACATGTTATCAGGATTTTCACAAGATATAGAAATTATACACCTTAAATATGTGTATAATTTTTAGAGGGGTATTGCTGCTCAGAGCATGAGTCTATGAGTGAGGGAATCTGTTGTCTCTATGAGCCTGGATTAGTAACACACATAAAGCAAACAAAATATTTTGAAGACTATGAATGACTGCTAACATTTTAACATGGGAAACTATAAATATTTAAGATAACAGGGTGAAAATTGTTTAATGCAGGTGAACAAGAGGTAGCCAGTAGTAAACATGGGAGGATAGTATCAAAAGATGGTAAACAACTGTCTTAGAGAGTGTAGTAGAAGGACTAAAAAGAATGTTAAGATCCATTGCAGACATCTTCCCTGTGGAGATCGCTACTGAATGAATGAACAATCTAAGCATGAAATTCTTAGTTGTGAGACTGGCTGCTTAATTATGTGGGAAACATCAGCTGTAAAATCCATGTACAGGTCTAGAATTGATCTGTGGGGTGTTGTCTGAAGGCTTATTTTCCATCAAGAATTTTACAGCATAAGAAAAAAAACGAAAAGAAGAAATTTAGTATTTATGCTAATGATTATAAATATCTAGGCTCCATAATAAACAGCAATGGAGACTGCTCAACAGAAGTCAAAAGGAAGATGATCTGGCAATGCAAAGATTAGATAGCATTTAGAGTTTATAGTCAAGCACTAGCAAGGAAATCAAAGTCAAAATTGTAGAGTCTACATCTTTCCTGTAGCCACATATGAAACTGAACAGTGGACTATCTTGCAGTCACTAAGGAAGAAAATAGGGGACTTTTAAGCCTAAATGCTCTATACTTACTTACTTTTTACTTTTTCCTTCCACGTATGCCGCTAAGCGTTGAGGGGGGATACAAGTTCCTGTCATGAAGCAAGGCGGGCAGCAACTGATGTTCTGAGGCCATGCTTTTGGCAGGTTTCGGAGACCCCGTCAATCCACAGTTTCCTTGGTCTTCCTCTTGCCTTATATCCTGAGCTTCTTTGGTTGAAAATTTGTGATGTTATTTGGTCATTTTTCATCCTGGTTAGATGTCCGAACCATTTCATTCTTTGATGTTCTATGTAGTCTAAACATGGTGTAGTTTTGACAGTGTTTCTAATGTCTATGTTCTTTATCCTGTCTAGTCTGGTCTTATTCGCTGCTTTTCTTAGACATTTCATTTCACAGGCTTCTATTTTTCTTTCATGGGTCTTGTTGATTGTCCATGTCTGGCACTGGTAGCAGAGTGTTGGAATGAAGATGGTGTTTATCAATTCTCTTTTGGTCTTCATGGTTATATCTGGATGTTTAAGCAGAGGCGATAGTTGGTATGTGACAGCATTTGCTTTCTGTATTCTTGTTTCTATCTCTCTGTCCATTCTTCCATTCTCTGTAAATATACTGCCCAAGTATTTGAACTCTTTGGTTTGCTTGATTTTGGCACTTCCAACATTTATATTCAGTGGCCTGTGTGTTCTGCTGATCTTCATAACTTCTGTTTTTTCTGTACTGATTCTCATATTATGTTGTAAACAGCTGTTGTTGAGAGTAGTCAGATGTTCCTGTAGATCATATTCATTTTGATACAGTATGCTTTGATCATCAGCAAAAAGTAATTCGTTTATAGCATACACGTCTGGGTTTGCTTCTACAGTGATCTTATCCATGTATGTTATGAAAAGTAATGGTGACAGTACACATCCTTGTCTGACATCAGTTGTGACTTTGAACCATTCAGAAAGACCACTAGATGTTCTTACTGCACTTTCACTTTTTTCATAGAGGGCTCTGATGTTGTCTAATAATTGACCCTGCACTCCGTAATCGTCAAGAATTCTCCACAGCACATCTCTGTCCACACGGTCGAATGCCTTCTCTTGATCTACAAAGACCACGTTCAGCTCTTTATCGTATTCGAGTGTCTTTTCACAGACTTGTCTTAGTGCAAATATGGCATCAGTGCAACCTCGCCCTTTCCTGAAATGCTCTATAAACATTCTCAAAATGGACTAGGAGGAAATGAACATCAAGGAAGACTGCATCTTTTCTCAGAAACTGAAATATTTTGGACACATCAAGCACCCCAGTGAATTGAAAAAAAATTATAGTAGAAGGCATGATACCAGGGAAAGAGGCAGAGATGGACTAGCATGAAGATGCATACAAGAAATATATGATATCTGTGGAAGGAATGTGCACAAGAATGGAGAGCTGGCAAGAGACCAAATTTCTTTTAGGTAGACCGTACTAAGAGCAACATTCTGCAAAAGACCTGCTACATGATGATGATGATGCTGATTAAAAATGTTGTCTAATACATTAAATTAAATAGTCAAACTATTCAGAAATGTAATGGCTTTAACATGGAGAATAAAAGTAAACTGAAGATTGTATGCTCTTTCTGCAGATAATATGGAATCAAGCGGATTCATTGAAAGAGTCCAGAAGAACATTTACAACACTCCAAGTGAAAGTAGCTGTGGTAATGATCAACCACAACTTCCTTCCAGAAAGAAACCTAAGAGAGATGTTTACACAAATAAATCATTTAGCGAAATCATTCCTTCTGAACACATTGACACAGTTGAACACATCACAAGGGACAGGTCCCAGTCTATGCCAACATGTTCTCAGCATGCCCTAAGCAGTCATCAGTTATTGCCCTCGTCCCCTGTGCTTGATAATGTCAAGTTCTCCCTTATGAATCAGCCTCATATTTTTGATGAAACTGAACGAAGATTTTCAAAGAATGGGTTACCTGTTGTAGTTTCATCTAGAGCACATACCCATGATCTGGATGAAGAACCATATGGGAATCAGAAATCAAGGAATAACAACCCTTACCCTGTGTATGCAAATACTACAAAAGATGTGAATAAACCATACAGTTTTCCTCAAGAAAAAATTATATTTCAGAATGTTCCGTATGACAGTGCTGTATACAATCTGACTTCTCCTGTAGGTGAGAGTCGGAGCCCTGTGCTAGACATGCACCATTCACAAACTGAATATGTACAAGTGCAGACTGCAAGGGGTGTTATGTACATACCATCTGGAGTTTTTCAGAGAATGCTACAAAACAGTTATTCTGTTATTGAGAACCAGTCAAAACATGGTCTTGTCATAACTGGAGTACCTGGTCAGAACACTTCACAAGGGAATGCTAATCCTGGAACATCTAGTGGTAATTTAGAAAGTTTTTGTGAAGTGCCTACCTCTATGTCATCTAAAGAGTACATAACACCCATAGATATTATATATGATACACAGCATGCTCTGCTAAATCATGCTGGTGCCAAACTGTCTCCTAAAAACTTTTCTCAAAACAACATAACTGATGATCCAGTAAGTGCAGTAGTTTACCATCATAAAAATTCCACTGATACAAGTAAACTTAGTCGAGAATCTCAGAATTATGGAATGTACAATGTAGATAGCAGTAACTATATGTTACCATGCAACTTGACCCAGGTTATTGCAGGCATAGAAACTAAAGGGTCATCACTTGCTAAAGACAGCACAAACCTAATGTTACCAGTGATTGTGCATCAGCAGCCAGGTTTAGTGAAGAAGACAGCTAAAAGACCTGATAGTCTGCAAGTAGATCCTGTTTATACCCAAATCAAACCTAAAGGTAGGCCTCAGACTTCACTAGATGTGATTGACAATTCTACTGGAGCACTAGCTAGAAGTATTTCTCAAGGCAGCTTGTCTCCTGACAGCCATCAGAACAAAGGTGCAAAAAATAAGACATTAAATGGTAACAATGCAAATGTTACACATACAGAACAGCCTGCGAGAACACCAGATCATTACAGGTCATCTCAGATGTGGTTATCAGACGTTACAGAAGAAATAGAGGAGATTGTATGAAGAAAAGTGATTCATATTAAATGAGAAGTTCTAGTTTAGTGGTTTTCAAACTGAGGACAATGGTTCTCCCCATCCCCCCCACCCACCCCCCAAACCAAGAAGCGCACGAAATTTGCAAGAGGGAGGGCATAAAACAAATCTTGACACTTGTACTTTTGATAATCTGTTACACTAATAATTGTTGTTTTTTTAAATGTTTCCTTGTAAGTATACTTTTTTTTAACAACTATATTTTAAAAAAAAGGATAAGTACATTATTCTATTTGACACTTTGA